GAAAGCTGCTCTACCTCCACCTTCAAAATCGTACTTTCCCACATTTTTTTCCTTAATTTCATTTTGGAGCGATTGATGAGTTCGTTGCAACTTTTTTTTATAGATTATGAAAGAAAGGACATCACTATTAGACTTGGGAACTATGGGACTCGTCCCAGTGATACCGAATAATTGTCAAGCGGTCAAATTGAGCGCGACTCGTGCTAAATTAAAATCACGTGCTTTCCGTTTTCTTCAAGCATTCAGGATAGTGAATTAGCAAGAGCTCTGGAAGTCGTCGCAGTAAATACTGAATCTGATTATTGCAAAGCAGTCAAGTAGCGTTGATCTGCGTTAAAGCTACGTTGTGGCTAAATTTTCCAAGTATCCTGCAGGATAACGAACAAACAAGGTCTTAGAAGTTCACCTTTGCTTCCGATCAAAATAAATGCCGCATAATGAGAAAATTTGAGGAAGGGGCGTATCTGTATGAGTTAGGGGCGTATCTGTATGAGTTTTTCAAACCTGCATCTATTGCCCCACTGATTTGCGTGTATTTGAATAGGCGCTAAGTTAGGCCGATGTCATAGTGTGCGAATCGAGCGATTTGCAAACTATGAAATCTAACTATAACATGTTGATGACAGCATGACGAGCATGCGCGTCAGATTTTCACCCAAATGGGCGTTTTGATCGGTTTATTTGGCATGTTTCATATTTCAAAACTGTCTGGATGCATCTTATCCGGAAAACTGTGCACCAATTAACAGTGGTGGAATTGTTGAAGGAGTAATGTCTATTTTGAAAATAATAAACAAAAGTTGTCGAGATGCGCGCAACGGGCCGTCGTCAACGTGATAAACTATGACGTTGCGTGCCTGCGACGAGCACGAAAATTCTCTTACACTCAATTAATTCTATGCTCTTAAAGCTCACTTTTCAAAGCTCTAGCGTCGTTGTCGTGCCGTCTTGAGCCGAATGACACACTTGAGGAACTTGTGGGCATTCACAGATCGGTTTTTGCAAAATATTCGATTTCCAAATACAAGTTCACAGTCTTGAAAGTTTTTTTCAGCATTTTTTTTAAATTACGAAGCAAAGGTAGACTACCAGAGCCTTGCTAGTTCAATAGTCTGATCAAAACGACCACTGCAGCAAAAACCTCCCTTTGACTTTAAGAATTCGATGTTAATTGAAAGAATTTATTTTTCTTTTGAGACTTACAGCGATGTTCCATTTGTCATGCCTTTGAAAAAGGAGATGGTTAGAACCCAACAGCATCTACCAAAATGAAGTTGGCGAAAAAAAATGTTGTGGAGGTATTATTCTCAGGGACAGACAAAGCGTCTTTTCCCCAAAAAAGGGGAGAAAGCTTCTACCATTTCTGACTGTAACCTGGTGCTGGTACGCAGAATAGTATGTGTATCACTTTCATTGATGCGAATTTTGATAACATCCTTTCGAATTGATGTTTTTCAAGGGCACTTTGTAGGTGAAATCACTAACATACGAGTGGACTACGCATAAGAAAATAATAATAGAAGGAGATATACCGTGACCGCCACATTCGCTGCTGCGAGAGTAGCTATCGGTGCCGTCACAGGTGCCATTAGAAAACCAGCAATAGCTATAAGAATTAAAGCTAATAATCAGTTAAATACAAGGAAAAAGGCAAAGAACCACTGCTACAATCCGAAAATGTCAGGATCATTTGTTGAAATTCATCTTTGAGTAGCACCAAATAGCGCGGGGCCGGAACAAATGTTTTTTTTTACTTGCGATGAATAGTGATGACCCCTGCCCCCTGGGCTGCGATAAGGGTTCTACGCGCTGATAGCATACAGTTATTAGGCTTGTAGTAGAGGGACGTAAGCAAACCAGCCCTTTTGGCACATCGGCTGGGACCGTATGCTGAATGTTGGGGAGGGGATGGGGTCCCCAACGGTCGACGGTTTACTTCAACTCGGTTGGTACGATAGGAGAGTACTGACGCAAGTGGTGCAGCTGGTCCAGTAGCTTCGCCAGAAGGACCGGTCTGCTCACCCTTGGACTAAGCCTAGGAGAGGGGACGGACCCGTCCTCTCTTTAAGGCTTAGTTCTAAGGTAAGCGCCAAATTGTGGCGGTTCTAAGGACCGCGTTGAAGTTGTCCGTCCACCGTCGGGGACACCATCCCCTCCCCAACATTCAGCATACGGTCCCAGCCGATGTGCCAAAAGGGCTGGTTTGCTTACGTCGTAGTAGAGTGACCGCGTGGAAAAAAAAATGAAAAACAGACCGGTGGACGAGATCAGCATCGTTAGCTTCGACTTGGATAAATGCAAGTATGCAGACAACAACCCCCTCGGTTCCATTTTTGTCCACAATTCCAGCCGAGTTTCAGGAACTGCAAATGGAGTAAGGTGAAACTAAGTCTGACTGCGTTGCTATTGCTATTGGCATATGCTGCGAACCTACTAAATCGATTACTTTCTTTGGTTTCCTCTTTGAGAGCTCAAGAATTGACCGCGTAGGTGCTGCAGCCGGCATTTCGTCCTCAAGTGTCTTTGCTGTACACGAAGAAAACATCCCGATAACAAGTAAAATACCAAAAGCGGTTGCTAGCAGATTCTCTGAAAATGCAAATCATTATATTAGATTGTCCCTTAAGTAACGATCTTCGGAAGTAAATTGTTCCTCCGCGCTCATTGTTTCATACCAAGTGCTCACTAATACCGTACCGTGGCAGTGAAGTATTCGTTTTCACTTTTTTAAACGTAACCTCCCTCAAAAGTCAAGCTTTTGTTGCGATTTTTGAAGGTGAGTACATATTAATTATATGTGATAAGGAGCAAATTTTCAGTTGTCTAGGTGACTTGTATACCAATTTAGAAATTTTTAATTTTTTTCGGTCCAATACCATATTACTTGTTCGAACTTCAATCTATCTAAATTTCAAAAATAATAACAAAATAATTTGTATAATAACAGACTGAAACAACTACAACATCAGCACTTTGTCGCAGAACCGTTTTCATCTATGACGGCTTGACACGGCGTAGCATGGACTCGGATTTTTTCTTGGTGGAGGTTTCCCTACGCGATCCTCAGCGGGACGAACTTTTCGAGCTCGTTGTGAACTTAAAGGCCTTCAACTTGACTCCGAACAATCATCCTATAAATTTTTGCTAGGATTCAAGTATGGGGACTGCGATGGCACTGCAGTAGAGGAACACTATTGTTGCGGAACCATTTCGAGAGCGGCGCTTTGATTTTGCGCTTCGGGTCAGAAAATGAAACACTACGGGCGACACTGCGAAAATGCGACCAGATAGCAGTCGTCCACATGTTGAGGTGCGCTTTGGCATCCATTTTACCCTCAGTTCGATGAAGGTGATCAACCCCCTTTGCCACAGAAGCTGCTGTGCTACATCACCGCACCCCCTGGCAGTTCTATTCTTTCAGTCAGCACATGGAACCTCGGATGATATCTGGTATCAACAGGAAGTCTCACAAACTTAATTTCATTCGTTCTAACACCAAAAACATAGGTTCGTTGCTCCAGATGGCTTTTTGTCACTGCTTAATAGAGCATTTCTTGTGGGCATGAGCCCAATTGAGATGCGCTTTGCCACCCTTGAAGAAGGTACATCAGCGTTTCTTACTGGCAACGTCAGAAGAGCCGCCAGACATCTCGTTCAGACAACGTCGGCACATTGTCTGCCCGGACGGATTTAAGACTGTCTGCGGTCGACAAATCCGCGGTGAATTGTCGGCTGGGCACCCGTGATGTGAGCCACTCCTTGCAATCACACAATGGAGAGGAGAGGTCATTCTCGCTGCTCCTGGGCACTTTTTGACTTTGGCAGGTTCGCTGCTCTTGAATTTCTTCCAAGTCGTCCACTGGCGCTCCTTGAACTTCGAAAATCTGCCAGGATGTTAAGCCCTTTGTAGAAGCTCCGAAAGATGGCGTCACCCTGTGGCTCCTCGCACAAAGCTGTTGGACTTCCCGAATTTTGTTCTTCGGGATATGTCTGATAATGTTTAGCGCATATGAAAAATGACATCAGAAACATCAAAAACACACGACCTCCAGACCTAAAAACACACCCCCCCCCGATCCCCCCCCCCCAGGACCGACGCCCCGAACCCCCCCCTACCGTTGTTTATCACAAATGAAATTGGGTGCCCGCGGACAATTTTCAAAAGTAAGCTCCAATTCCCGTTGAAAGGAGGCTACTGCACCGATACACCGCTATAATATTACTACCTGTGTATGTCACCTGCTGTTAAAGTTTAATACTGCGAAAGCTTGAGTTTTGAGGAAATTGCGTTTCAAAAAGTGAAAACGAATACTTCACTGGGCACGGTACTGTAATCATGGGGTCAATAAGGGATTTGTCCAACGAAGGGCAGTAATATATTCGCCCCCCACATTCGTTGCAGCGACCTTTATTGCTCTGACTCCATTTTCTCCTAAAAAAATTGAGCACTGAAGGCTCTATTAAGCCACGACCTATTCTGAACATTCCGATATCAGACTTCCCGAAATTCCCGTCTCCTTCCAAATTCAATATTTTCGTAAGAACATAGTGGAAGCACTATCTGCTGACAAAACTGCTTAGATATGAAATTTCTCACTCTTGAAGTGGACTGTTTTACAAGATGTTTTACTTAAGTTGTGATAGTAATACTGCTGTATTTACCAACAAGGTGCTAATGTGTTCCGTTATCCGTCTTATGCGTTAATTACTGAGGTAGAACTTTTTCTCTTGATGGCTTTGTGCAAATAAAATTCATTCAGCTGTAAATTACAGCTGAATAAACAAACAAAAGAAATCCAAAGAAAAGAAAGAGGAAAACGAGGAGCATGGAAATCAACATTACCCTTGAGAGCGAACTTAGAGTTGCTGAATGGACGAGGGTTGAACTTGTTGATGGTCGCATACTCGTCCTACTACAAAGAAGCAAACTACTCCGAAGCATGGTTGGGAGATCAGTTGAGCGCTGACCACTAAAACATATAAGATCATGCCTGCCCAAATGATGTGAATGAACATTCCGCACGAAATATGGCACAGTGCACGGCAAGTCATTAAATCCATAACTTCCTTAACGACTGGATAAAACGTTGAACAAAATTGACAGCTATACTGTTATAAGATTCTCACAACCAGGCAGAGGTCGTGTGACTCTTCTCTTCGGTCAGAAGTATAGAACCCTAGGGGACAATCACAAATGTGGCGTTCACGTGCACGGAATTCGACCGACAAGAACGCTTTGGGCTTGCAAAGTAAGCTGCTCGAGCTGCAGCGAACGAGCTCTCTTATCAGGCCGTTGTCTGGTGCTCTCTCATCTGATGCGCTCTCTCGCCCCATACTCTCCTCTTCGCGCTTAGTCTCTCGTTCCTTTAGCACAGCCAATTAGGAAGGTGAGTGAGCCCTCAACCTGAGCGTTTTCGACGGATTCTTTTCCTTTTTTCTTCACTGCCGGCCCACTTGGCACCGTGGGGGGGGGGGCGGGGGGGGGGGGTTCCATTTCCCGTTGTGTGACAAGAGCACACCAGTCGTCTGGGGCAGCTTTAAGTATCGATTTCGAATTGTGTTCACAGATCGGTTTTTGCAAAATATTCGATTTCCAAATACAAGTTCACAGTCTTGAAAGTTTTTTTCAGCATTTTTTTTAAATTACGAAGCAAAGGTAGACTACCAGAGCCTTGCTAGTTCGATAGTCTGATCAAAACGACCACTACAGCAAAAACCTCCCTTTGACTTTAAGAATTCGATGTTAATTGAAAGAATTTATTTTTCTTTTGAGACTTACAGCGATGTTCCATTTGTCATGCCTTTGAAAAAGGAGATGGTTAGAACCCAACAGCATCTACCAAAATGAAGTTGGCGAAAAAAAATGTTGTGGAGGTATTATTCTCAGGGACAGACAAAGCGTCTTTTCCCCAAAAAAGGGGAGAAAGCTTCTACCATTTCTGACTGTAACCTGGTGCTGGTACGCAGAATAGTATGTGTAACACTTTCATTATGGAGATTTTTTGATAACATCTCTGAATGTGATTTTTCAGGGACTTTGTAGGTGGAATATCACTACGAGGGTACTACGACATAAGAAAATAATATAGAAGAAATATACCTGCCGCACATGCTGCGAGAGTAGCTATCGGTGCCGTCACAGGTGCCATTAGAAAACCAGCAATAGCTATAAGAATTAAAGCTAATAATCAGTTAAATACAAGGAAAAAGGCAAAGAACCACTGCTACAATCCGAAAATGTCAGGATCATTTGTTGAAATTTCATCTTTGAGTAGCACCAAATAGCGCGGGCCGGAACAAATGTTTTTTTTTACTTGCGATGAATAGTTATGAACCCCTGCAGATAAGGGTTTGGCGATGATTTATGACATTATTGGGTTGTAGTAGAGTGACCGCGTGGAAAAAAAAATGAAAAACAGACCGGTGGACGAGATCAGCATCGTTAGCTTCGACTTGGATAACTGCAAGTATGCAGACAACAACCCCCTCGGTTCCATTTTTGTCCACAATTCCAGCCGAGTTTCAGGAACTGCAAATGGAATAAGGTGAAACTAAGTCTGACTGCGTTGCTATTGCTATTGGCATATGCTGCGAACCTACTAAATCGATTACTTTCTTTGGTTTCCTCTTTGAGAGCTCAAGAATTGACCGCGTAGGTGCTGCAGCCGGCATTTCGTCCTCAAGTGGCTTTGCCTGTAACGAGAAGAAATCCCATCAAAAGTAAAATACCAAAAGCGGTTGCTAGCAGATTCTTTGAAAATGCAAATCATTATATTAAATTGTCCTTAAACACACAACCCAGGCAGAGGTCGTGTGAACTCTTCTCTTCGGTCAGAAGTATAGAACCCTAGGGGACAATCACAAATGTGGCGTTCACGTGCACGGAATTCGACCGACAAGAACGCTTTGGGCTTGCAAAGTAAGCTGCTCGAGCTGCAGCGAACGAGCTCTCTTATCAGGCCGTTGTCTGGTGCTCTCTCATCTGATGCGCTCTCTCGCCCCATACTCTCCTCTTCGCGCTTAGTCTCTCGTTCCTTTAGCACAGCCAATTAGGAAGGTGAGTGAGCCCTCAACCTGAGCGTTTTCGACGGATTCTTTTCCTTTTTTCTTCACTGCCGGCCCACTTGGCACCGTGGGGGGGGGGGCGGGGGGGGGGGGTTCCATTTCCCGTTGTGTGACAAGAGCACACCAGTCGTCTGGGGCAGCTTTAAGTATCGATTTCGAATTTTTTTCGAATGGAAATTGTTCTCCATGCGGCATCATTTTTCATACCCATTTAACATAAATCATTCAAAGGGATTTGTTACAACCAAGCAGTATAGTTCGCCCACATTCGTGTGCAGCGACTTTATTTGACTCGACTCCATTTTCTCTAAAGTTGAGCACTGAAGCTCTTAAGCCCGACTTTATGGCGGGAACATTCCTGATATCGACTTCCGATTCGTTCCTTCCAATTTCATATTTTTCGTAGAAAGTAGTGGGAAGCATATTCTCTCCCCCCCGACAAAACTGCTTAGATATGAAATCTCTCTCTTTGAATGTGGATGTCTTTACAGTGTTTTACTTAGTTGTGATGTATATGCTGTTATTTACCAATCAAGGTGCTAATGTGTTCGTTATCCGTCTTGGATGCGTTAATTACTGAGGTGAGTTTTCTCTGATTGGCTTTGTGCAAATAAAACTCATTCAGCTGTATAATTACAGCTGAATAAAAAACAAAAGAAATCCAAAGAAAAGAAAGAGGAAAACGAGGAGCATGGAAATCAACATTACCCTTGAGAGCGAACTTAGAGTTGCTGAATGGACGAGGGTTGAACTTGTTGATGGTCGCATACTCGTCCTACTACAAAGAAGCAAACTACTCCGAAGCATGGTTGGGAGATCAGTTGAGCGCTGACCACTAAAACATATAAGATCATGCCTGCCCAAATGATGTGAATGAACATTCCGCACGAAATATGGCACAGTGCACGGCAAGTCATTAAATCCATAACTTCCTTAACGACTGGATAAAACGTTGAACAAAATTGACAGCTATACTGTTATAAGATTCTCCACATGTTAGCATTCACAATCGTTTGATGAGGGTTATACCCGGGGTACCTGCTGCGCACTTACTGGTCTTTCCCGCTGAAGTAGTGCAAGCTCTTGTATTAATATGGATGCGACGTCGCGCCCTAGCTGCACATTATTACATACGCCCAAGAACTGCGTCTGTTCATTTCACATTTTGTACCCCATCGAGTGCTGCATGTTCTATTCGTGCCCGCATTCGGCAACAAACACATCTGCAGCAAACCAATACCCTCGATCTCGGGCCTGGGACGACGAGAGAAACCCTTTCGAATTTTGTTCTTTTATACGAAACGATTCGCTAGCGAATCGCTGGATCCGAGCGTTGCGCCAGCGAATCGAACTTTGCGCCAGCGAGTCGAACGATGTACCAGCGAGTCGAACTATGTACCAGCGACTCAATAGTGGCAGAAATCTACAAACACTAGAGGCAACTGCGAGACATCAAACGAAATTTATCAAATCAGATCAAACGAGATTACGAAGACATCCATTTTTGATCCTGGTGCCATTTGGCGCCACCTTGTCACGACGGCTGTTTTCACGAAATTCGGTGTAAACTTGTACATAGGGGTTATTTGGTGTCCTGATTACGAATATGACATTTATTTTTGACGCTTGTGGCGCCCATTTCTGCTCGTCTGCGCCCTCGCACTGGGTTGATCATATCAGGACTAACAATAAGCCCTTGGGGAAAGGGGGGGGGGGGCTCAGAGGTGAGTGAGCCACTTACCCATATCACACACTTCAACTTTTGTCACATGCTGCGTGGTTTACCTAATCGGAGCACTCCTTCTCCGACAAACTTGACTTGACGCGATCGCACTGGGATGATCATATCAGGACTAACAATAAGCCCTGAGCGAAAGGTGGGGGCTCAGAGTGAGTGAGTCCACTTACCCATCAACACACCACACTTTGTCACATCGCGTGGTTTAAACCTAATCGTAGCACTCCTTCTCCGACAAACATTGACTTGCCGCGATGCACTGGATTCATATCAGACTAGCAATAAGCCGCTTAGCGAAAGGGGGGGGTACAGAGGTATGAGCCATTCCCATCACACCATTGATTTCACTTTTGTCACATGCTGCTGTTACCTATCGGAAGCACTCCTTCTCCGACAAACTGACTGAGCGTAACTCGGTTCGGGGGGGGGCACGCGATGCGCGCGCGTTTTCTCTGGCGTCTACCAAGCTTAGTTCCCAATGCGCGTATATTTGAAAACCCCACACTGCACATAATAGTGAATAGTAACTGATCCCTGGTCTAAGTTTGGAGAGAAAATAACAGACGTCGCGCCCAATCGCGCACCCCCCCCCGAACCCGATTTCGCACCAAACCCCTATGTACAAGTTTACACCGAATTTCGTAAAAACAGCTGTCGTGACAAGATGGCGTCAACTGGCGCCAAATGGCGTCAACATCAAAAATGAATGTTATAATCGTAATCAGGGCATCGAATTACCCCTACACGCACAGTTTCGACGAAAAATAGAACATTGAGATTTGGAGCAGTAATAGTGGAATAGTGCCGAAATAAAATAATAAAATATAATATCAGAGTGATTGAGCCTTGTTTGATGGCGTCGGTGAACGATATCCTCCCATAAGAAGGGAGACGAAAGGTTAAGGTCGCTATCCGACGGGGGACATTTGCTGATGCTCATCGTTTGCACAGAGTTTGTAGCCAGGCTCCTACCTTTGTAAGGCCTTGAAACCCTTCGTCACACTCAAAATTATATAAGCATAAACGCTAAATTACACGAGGGGAAGCGTGGGAAATGCTATGCTAAAGATGGAACAAAGGTAAGGACATTTTATAAAGGAAGGCAAGGGCAACGCGATAGACGTTACGCATTCCTCCCACCCTGCGCTCGTGCAATTGCGTACGTCAAGCGATTACAGTACTCTCCCGCCTAGTTGTTCTGTCGCTGACATACTAAGTACCTGACTATGGCCGATGTCATAGTTTGCGAATCGAGCGATTCGCTAGCGAATCGCTGGATCCGAGCGTTGCGCCAGCGAATCGAACGTTGCACCAGCGACTCAATAGTGGCGGGACCCAACGTTCAAAGGAAGCCCGCCACTTTCAAACAGTGTCCACTGTCAAGTCCCGCCACTTTCAAAAAGGGTTCAAAAAGTTTCAAAAAGCCTTGCTCGCATGGCTGTCCTTCATCTAGTATTCTGCCGATCCTGTTAAGGATGACTCGAGTGAATAGCTTGTAGATTACAGACAGCAGGCAGATTGGGCGATAGTTGCCAATGTCGTCCAAGTCTCCCTTCTTGTACAGCAACACGGTCCTGCTGGTTTTCCACGGAGTGGGTACCTTGCATTCCGACAGGTAGCGCGTGAAGAGTCGAGCCAGAGTTTTGATGATAACTGGCGGTGCATTCTTCAGATGTTCCGGTTTAACCCTGTCGAGACCGGGTGCTGTACGATTCTTCACCGACTTGATGGCGTGTCGGACTTCGGAAGAGAGAACTGAGGGGACGACGTATCCATCCTGTTGCAGTTGATAAGTAGGGCAGATGGACATGGCTATCGAAGAGATCCGAGTAGAAGTCGTGGATGACTTTCTCCATTGCCCTTCGGGATGCAGTAACTGTTCCATCCGGACGTCGGAGGCAGGTCATCTTGGTCTTGTAGCTGGCAAAGCTTCGGCGGGCATTGCGGATGCTCCTCCCAGCCTCTGCTGCTTCAGCTAATACTGCTGCTCTTCGCTCCTTGAGATCTTCCTTTATCGCCTCTCTGCATAGCTTCAAGCTCGGACGTGAGTTGGTGATTGCCTGCAGCTCGTGCGGCTCCACGTTGGCGTATCAGCTCGAGAGTTTCCGGAGACAGACGTCCCTTGGTGACTTTCCAAACTCTCTGCCTTCCTGCCACAATCGTGAAGATGTTCAACGAGCCGATAGTATTCCTCGTCGATGTTTTCGATGACGGAATCCTCCCATAAGCTGACGAGAGAAGCGAAGTGGTCCCAGTTGATGACTGTCCTGGGGCTTCGCTTCCTGAACTTTGCTGCTCTCTCAACACGCATCGAGAAGTGGAATCTTGCGCGGAGGAGACGATGGTCCGATCCCGTGTAGAACTTGGAACAACAGCGACGTCGGTCAGGCAAAACCTTCGATTGAAGATGATGTGGTCTATCTCGTTATGGAACTGTCCATCAGGTGACTCCCAAGTCCAACGAAGGTGAGAGGGCTTTGGAACTGTGAGTTACCATGGATGGTGTTGGTCGACATGATAAACTCCGACAGTCTCTCGCCCTGCTCATTCCATTCCATTCCGTGAGTACCGATGTGAAGTTCTTCAGCCGTTCTTCTTGGGCCAATCTTAGCGTTGAAGTCGCCGACGATGACCTTGAAGAAGGTATGATCTTCCCTGTAGAACTTCTCCAATTCCATATAAAATGCTTCGTGTTCCTCCTCGTCGTAGCTGATGTTGGTGCGTAGGCGACGAAGATTGTCAAAGCAGGAGTTGAACCACATCTTCTCAATCTCAAACGTCCGATTCGGGTCGTAAGGCTTTCGTACGAATCGATGTTTATGGCCAAGTGCGTGTTGACGAGGACACCCACACCGCCAACGCCTCTGCTGTCGCATGTTCCAAGGAACAGTTCTTCTCCAGTATCGAAAACGGCGTGTAGCGGGCGGTGCCTTCTCGTCTCGGTCAGTCCGATGACGTCGTACTTGATCTTCCTGGCCTGCATCATCAGATCTTCGATGTGAGCTTCGGATGCAAGCGTTCGTGCGTTGAAAGTACAGATCGCCATCTTAGTCCTTCTTCGTTTAGGCAGCCTATCCGGGCCCTGAGATTCTAGCAGCCTCTCCCGAGCGGTCCTACCCAACGCTGCCGTATTGGGGGCTCCCTCAGGTTCAGGGGAATGAGGCCCATATAAGCTGTTTACGGCGCTTTGTTTTTGGAGGGCCCCGAATCGCCTCCCATGTACTTCCCAGTCACTTGAAGCTTTTGGCTGTGCCGACATGCAGGATACCAACCGCACACACACAAGCGCACGCAAGCATGCATGGATGCGCCTGAGTGGAGACAGCTGGTATGAATCAACAGCGCTGCAGAAACAGGGAGTCCATCGTAAATCGGCTGCGTCTGAGGGCAAGTACATGGTGGCTTTTCACTATTTCTACTGCTTTCGAATGAGTGCTTTCATAAAGGGAGAGGAATGGAGCCAGTGGATCTGCAGGACTATTTTACACCATTTTTTTCGCATATCCTCGTTTTCTGCTGCGCTACACCCTCTCCCTCCTATCTGCACCACGATGCCACTGATGAGCTCGTTACTGCCTCGTAAGAGTACGATCCCCATGACTCGCGTGACAAAAACGACCTCCCTGTTGAGAGTTCCTCGACCGATATTTGAAGAGGGACGATGCCTTTAAATCTCCATACTCAGACTGCAGCCGAAAAATCGCCAAAACCAAGTAATGTTGAGGTGAGGATGGAGCCTGGCCTCGCTACGTTTAGGTTGAAAAAGCGGGCACCTGCCAACATTTTTCTGCATTGGCCTGCATTTTTTGAGGGTACAGGTTCAGGCATTCGCGCGAATCGCGCGATGGATCGCGGACTCTGACACCAGCCTAAGTCAGCCGCCGCAGAAGCGAAGAACACTGATACACGCCTCGTACGAAAAGCTGGAGGGCCGTAATACAGAAAAATTTGTCCGCAAACTGACCAAAGCTCGACAGCGAGATACTCAAGATATAAGGGTCGGGAAGAGTGCAAAGCGCAGCAACGGCGAGGGCGGGGCTCGACCAAAGTGGGCGGAGTTTGCCAAAAGGGTCGCAATTCGGTTCCAAGAAGTCCTAGAGACCGGGGAAAAAGGGGGTAGAGGTCGGCGAAAGGAAGGGGGCCAAATGCTATTGGTGGGCGGGCACGCACCGAAGTAGGCGGAGTTTGCCACGAGATTTATTGTCCGGAAGCAGTCCGGAGACCGGGAAAAGAGGATAATGGTTGACGAAGAAAAAGAGGTTGAAAGCCGTCGATGATGGAGCGGATAGAATTTAGCTGAGAATTCAGATATTCGTGGTGTATCAAGCCAAATTTGAAAATTTTCGTCGCACCATCAAAATTCGCCGCAGATCTGTGTTGTGCGCGCAATGCGTGCGGCGCCAACTGGTATTTATAATTCACTTCGATGTCCCCCCCCCCAACGGCATGAACGCCCCATTTTGTATTGCGAAGGCCTTTGTCGTCCGCCGATGATGCATTTCATTTGACGCGCCACCTGGATTACGGTAGCCCCGCTCTAAGTGCTGAAATTAAATTCTTGTCATTTCATTTACGCTTGAAGGCAGAATTTACGATGAAAAGTAGCTCATTGGAAATAAGGGTAGAGGTGGTCAGTGGAGCAGGGATGAAGAAGAAACCATTTGAAACGGCCCGAAACCCGAGAAATGGGACCCCTTCCTTGCCCGTTGATTTGCGCATTGATGCGACTCTCATCGCTGTGCCCTCTTCAACACTACGCTCTCTCTGCTATCTAATCACTCGCCACGTATAGACCTGCGGCGAGTGATTAGATAGTCGGTGGGCGTACCCCGCCAACCGCGCCAAGAGTGAGCCATGCTAGATCGCCGAGGTCAAATCTTTCGCTGCCAATTGCGCGTCGGTCAGCACCCTCAGGAGGTCCGCCTGTCTATGCAATTTTCCCTTCTTTGACCTTCGTTCTTATCGTGAATTCCTCCTTTAATTGAGAAGCGGCCTGCTCAACAGTTCCATGCAGATTTGGTTCGATCAAAACCCTCAGTCATAGATTTGTAGTCTCCGATATCCGACTTTACCCCAATCTTCTTTGAGCCTTCTATCATCGCGAGAAAAACATTTTGAATCACGACTGCACAGCGAATTTTTGTGGATTCGGACCAAATGCTCAGTTGATATCCGACTTGCTTCAGCACTTTTCCGACCAAATTTGAGAGGAAACAAGAAACTCGTACAAACAGCCTGTTGAGTATGTTGTATTCAAGGCTTCAAAAAAGAGGAGAAAAGTGCTTCAGAGTTAAAATAGCAGCAGATTTAGACCGAGCGCAGAACGCGCATTATCTGTGTAAAAGTGGTAGCAGCTCCTTATAAGTGATTTAAAAATGAAGCGTTTGAAAGAGGCTTTCTGAAAACGACGGAAATTTTCCGAACAACCCAATACTATTTTCCCCGTCTTGGAAAAGAAGTGTGGAGTGATGGATTACTTCTCTTACAGCGGGATCAAGTTGGATGCTCATGCCATGAAGCAGGACGATTGATTAGTCGCTGCAGCATGGATGAAATGGAGGGAGTCCACTGGAATCCTCTGCGATCGAAGGTGCTCCAGAACGCTCAAAGGGAAGGTGTACCGGACAGTGGTAAGGCCTGCGATGCTATACGGCAGCGAGTGCTGGCCCCTGAACAAGAACCACGAAAGGCAGCTTCACTCCGCTGAAATGAGGATGCTGAGATGGGCCTGCGGCTGGACGCGACCTCACAAACGAGGATGTCAGAGCGGTCATGCAGACTGCCCCTGTTCTGGTTGCAGGTCAGGAACGGCGTTTGCGATGGCATGGGTATGTCTAAGCCCTACGAATTTCCCAATTGTGTTCATTCCTAGTTTCCTTTATATTCTGATAATCTTGGTCATAAAAAAGAGCAGTAGAAGTAAGTACAGACCCACACATATAGCAAGACATATGTTTTTAGTGGAGCAACCGCGTCAAAAATAATTTGAGGTTCACTGCAGCAAAAGCAACTGAAACTTGCCTTTCATCGCCAGAAAACGTCAATTCGATCGATTTTTTACAGTTGTCCCTTCTGATAAGTTTGACACATCGAATATCATTCTAAACATTTTGTTGCATCCGAGTTTTGGGTATTTAAAGCTCAAAATTCACGGATTTGATGTGAGGCGGCGGCGCCTGCAAAATCGCCGTGGTCCCACGCGGCGCAAAAACCCAAAATGCGCGTTGTCGTCAACGTGTTAAACAACACCCTCGCAGTATTCATCGGGCACTTCCAACCAGGGTCAACCAGGGTGAATAACGGTCGAGGAAATCCTCGACCATAGCTCTCTACCATGCGAGAGTAGTGCCGAGAGTGAACATCCGCGCGGAGAGCACAGACGGCACGGCATGGCGAGTGTGAATGTCCGCGCGAGAGATCGTCTCTGATCGGGCAGAGAATCCTCGACGTGCCGTTGAGGAATCCTCAAGCGATATTCACCCTGGTCAACCCTATGTTGCTACAAGTAGCAACGGGGGGTCGTATTTTGATGAGTTTGTAGAGGGGGGTCGTACTTGCTTCGATTGTAAGAAGTTGCATGAGATGAGTGGGGAGTGGCGCGGGAGAAAATTTGCCGTTTCAGCGCGCGTATAGCGGGGTTCTGATGGAAGATGGAGATGGTGGAGGTAGGGAAAAGGGGGTCGTATCAAATCCACCTTGGGGGAGGGGGGTCGTAAAAAAATTTCGAATCATTCATCAAACGTGACGTTGAGAGATCCTGCGCAACGCAGGGTTGACTCTGCTTCCAACTCCTGTGATCCATCGCAGGTTTCGCAATCGCGCAAATCGCGAAAGTCGCGAAAATCGCGAAGAGCGGATCGCGAACTCTGACACCAGCCTAAAGTGGCCGACTGCCGAAGGTAGCGGGCCCTGCGATGGCGCAATGGTAACGTTAGGGACAATTTCCCCTTGTGATAAAGGAAGTGAAGTTGAACTGGAACCTGAAGGAATTTTTGCTCGCATGACTTTGAACGTTTTCTTTGATGGTCATGACTGACACATTCATGTGAAAGAAGGCAAAAACTCTCCGGGGAGACTCCTTCAACATCAACAGCACCACTTGGAAGAAAAGAAATAATTTATTCTCTGTCATCTCTGCAGTTCACAAGTACAGGTAACATACTACTTCTCTATTTACTCGATTTAGAAAAAACACTGGGAAAACAATACTTTTATATGGAGGAGTACTAGACCAATTTGAAACTCCACGAAAATCTCAACCATTATTATTGGATACCCTTATTCGAGTTCTACCAACACTTGCGCTTCATCGACGGTATCACCAACCTTCACATTTACAGTTTTCACCTAAAAAAACGGAATCATTCGAAGTCGATTCATTGGGCATATCGACTCACTTTTCCCGTTTTCCCTGCATGCAAGCTGTTTTGCATTTTCATTGCCTCCATGACGACAAGTTCCTGACCCTCGCTAACCATATCGCCAACTTTTGCAGAGACCGACTTGATGGCGCCGGGCATAGGAGCTAACACTACCGTGGACAGATCGAGCTTAAGAAGAAGAAATAAGGCAAAAATGAGGCAAAGCTGCTGAAGAAAATTATGGAGTTTACTGACCTTGGGTTTCTCCTTCATGTATTTGAGGAATTCCAGCGCCTGCTCAGGTAGCACTTTGATTTTGAACGGAGAGCCTTTGAATAGAATTGTGATCTCTCCTGCACGTTTACCAACAATCTGTGTTGCTATTTTTGCTTTTGCTCCAGTACTCAAATGAATGACGGGATGGGCAAGATTGAGATCTCCATCGACTGAGATTTTTCTTTTGTCAACCAGAACCTGAAGACAGTATTTGCTATCTTTCCTATAATTTACTGAGTACTTTCATGAAAAGCACCACCAAGCTGCTGACAGAAGAAACTACATCCCAAAATTCTAGCTCAGAAAGTGACGATAAGGTTCGAAAAAAATTGCTAGGTTGAGAAAAACGGAGAGCATAACATATTTCATGACATCAAGACGTCAAAAATAAGGAAGCAGTAGTGCATTTATGATTATGCGTGATACATTCAATCACTGTTCACCTACCCTGGCCTTGTTTTGGTCTGCATTCTCGAAGTACACCTCGACGTTGTGAATCTTTCTTTGTTCACCATTGAGAGATGGCAATTGTACCGTGAACCTAAGAAAAAAAAACATTATGCTTCTCATAATCCCTTCCAATAATTATCGATGACATTTCTGCGGCAACGATTTACTATATATACAGTGCGTACCAAAAGTATGTGGACACCCAAAAATTGTCTGAGGAACTGTTGACTTTTGCACCATGAGATCGCCATCGACTTCTCGGATACGGATAACCTTGGTTTTTTTCATTTCTCACCGTTTTACATGCAGCTTTAAATTTTTTTAATTAACGAAAAAAATGTCCCCTGCTTTCCCTGTATCAAAAGTATGTGGACACTTCGAAAACAGAATATCTTTAAAGGCAAAGAATGGTAGGCCTACCAAAGAGATCTGGTAAGCTCGATCATTTTGTTAGGCATATTCTGAACCAGGCTACCTGTTTCGTCAGACTCTTCTCAAGCAGCTAATTCCATCCACTGTTAAGTCACTTGCGGTACTACAATTACTTAATGCACAGAAGCAGTGAACCACTATCCCACCACGTGTTCAACAAAGTTGTGGTCTGAGGAATACGCCAGCCAATCCAGCACACGAAACCCTCGCGTTTGCCTCCTTCCCAAACTGAATACGTGTATACGTGTAGGGGACCCCCTTGGATTTGCTGCAGAACAAGTGTTTTGTGACCCTGGCATGCTGGCAAGCCATTTCCCAATTTTCCGCTTCTTTCGAAACCACCCCAGACAATTGATGAGCCTCCTCCGAAATGTCTCTTTGGGTACAGCTGCGGGTCACGACGAAGGTCCCTCCATTAAACGAGATCCACCCGAATAGCCAAAGATAAGCTTTTTCTCACCAGTCGAGGTTGTCTAAGGGGGAATTTTCCACAGAGCGTCTTTTATTCTTTTCGTATTGTTTTCACAAAAGCGCTGTCTGTTCGGGATCAACGTCTCATGTTGTGATCTATTTTTGAACGGGAATTCCAACCTTGCCAATTTGTGCTGCTCATTCAAACACGAAGCTTTCTTAATCTTCTCTCGTGTCGTGCGCTCACTCGAGTTGATGAAACACGAGTGGTCTTTTTATAAGGGGGAAGTCATTGTAAGCGCTAGCGCGGATAGCAGGCTAAAGAAATTTTGAGATGGTACAGGCTATTTCGCGTTGATTCGAATAAGAAACCATTGAAGACGATCCTCAGTCAGTGTTGGAAGCTTAGCATCAGGATTCCGGATCTCGTGCCCAACAAACAAGGACGCTTGACGGGGTTGACGTGTGCGATTTGCAGTTGGAAGGTCCAGCAAAATGAGAACCCCATACCTCTGCTTGGTCCTCCTTAGAAAAATGCCTTTTGTGAAGAGGAATAATGCCAGATTAAGTGACGAAAGAAAAAGTAAACAAGGGTTGGAAAATTAGTGTGCAGAAAGTTGAGCTGTCCAAACGAACACACGCCCAGGGTGTCCACATACCTTTGGTACAAAGAAAAAAATTTCCATCAAAAATAGTTTGGTAAGCTAGAACGAAATCTCTGCCCAAATTGTCACCGTAGGTTCTCGACCACGAAAAGTTGAACGGTGAAGTATTCATGGGCAAAACGTCTTTAGCTGACCCCTGAGAATCGATTTTAGGGTGCCCACATATTTTTGGTACGCACTGTATTGTGCGCAGTTACGGAATTCTGGTCTGATGGTGCTTCATTTTTTAGATTTTCACTTTCCATAGCTCCTTCGCAAATTCAAGCTAACTGGTTTAGCCGATCGTAATAGTTTTGCGTCAAATCGACTAGGTCAAATCGCAATCGACTGATAGCAGTGTACATTAAACACTGTCCATTCAACATTATGACGACAGTGTTTACAACTGATTCAATGAAGAGTATTAAAAATCCCTTATTTAGCGCATCACCATCCATCACTCAAGCGCATGCAAGTTTTGTTAATATTACCAGTTCAGTTCCGCACGCTATTGCGCCAATACACGGTAGGCAACAACAGATTACTTGTTTTACTTTGTAAATTCTTTTTCCTAGATATCCTTTAGTGGTACACTTGTGGTGTGTGTAAAGTGACCTCCATCACATTCGCCGAATTCCTCATGCAGCAGTGCTGAGATGCCACGAGCGAATGATAGATGAAATGGAATGAAAAATGTCGAAAGGAAGGATAAAGCAGGGGCCGGGTGCAGCGAGCTCCAACTCGGGGATGGGTCCCCAAAAATCTATCTATAACAGGTCCACGGTTCAGTAACATGGCTCTATAGCAAAAGAAATCACACCATCTTCAATCAGGAGGTTTGCATGACCGACGTCGTTGTCGTTCCAAAGTTCTCATGGAATCAGACTAACATTTCGTTTGCGCAGAATTCGTTTTCTGATGCGTAGGAAAAGATGCACGTTCAAGAAACGACGCCACAAGACGATCGTTAATCGATACATTTCTTTGACCGGTTTGCGAGAGAGTTACGTTGTAGAAGACGACGAAAAATACCAACAGTTCGTTGAACATATTCTCGATGATATCACGAAGGTAGAATTTGGAAGTAGCCAAGCCAGATCCTAGTTCTATTACCATCACATCTACGGTGGAAATGAGGGCCCCCGAAGGTTGTGCCCCAACCGCATCGCTGCTGCTCCAATATTCTCCATGAGATGGAACCAACGCCTCTTTTGACCAACGTAATGGTTCTTTTTCTAACAAACAGAGAGAAAGGAGCAAACTTCAAAAGTGAAGCTGCAAGACAGTCGTCAACAAGAGAAGAATGTGTAGAGAGAATTTTGGAGAAAGCGATCTCTCTCCCAATGAAGGCGACCCCGTTCCTCACTCCACCTACATCAATGGAGTCAGTAGTTCTGCATGGTACCATGGTAAATGACCCAGTTCCACGTTCCCGCCCCAAAACTTCAAGTGCATAAAGAGAGGGCGAGGGTTAGAGGGTAAGAAGAGGGGCTTTTAGCTCTCGTACACTTCACTATCTCACTTCCTCTGAGCATACGTAGACCTTTTCCTCCTGCCCAATGCTCCAGCTACCACTTACCACAATATAAGGCAAATATAACAAGCGAATAAGCGAGAGTAGCAAAATTAGTAGAAGTAGGGGGAAGCATCGGCGACGTGCGCTTAGACTTTGCAAGCTTTGAGCTGTAGGTAAACTCTCTGCGATGACTGGAACAAACATTGTACCCAAAGGATAATGGATGAAAAATCCATTACTCCAGCTCACTTTGCTGTCTTTCACGCGATATTCATACCCCAGTCCTGGCTTTCGATACACGATATTTCGTCGTTGAAGTGTTGCAGCATTACCTTTTGAGACATAATGCGCACTCAACAAAAAATGTGCTCCTGCATGAAGAAGATATTTCGCACAGCCTTGGAAAGAATCACCGTGCCCGTCTGCCACCCTTATCTGTATTGACAGAACGCTGGATGAATAACAGCTGTGAGAGCAGGCAGGATTTGAGAGTTCAGCACGATTGACCACGGCCGACGGACTTTTTCCGCGACTGGCACGCTGCAAATTGCGCGGCGCGACGCGATACACGCTCCGCGGGAATTCAGCACATCAAAGCGTGTGCAGATTGCAGATAGAATCCGCAAGGTTCTGTCATTTGAATTACATTCCAACACGTGAGATTTTGAGGATGACGGTGAGGGTAAGGAAATTCCAGTAGGAACAGATAAGGAACTAGCATAATGCGTTCCGGCAATCAGGCGGGTCCATTCTGTTGGGAGATGTCAATTCGGGGGGAGGGAAGGAGGGAGGGGGGGGGTGAGTGAACCAATTACTGTGTTTTGGACTGAGCCCTAGGGTGGAAAGGATTCTGGGAGAGAGGCTTGTTCTCTCTGGCGTTTCTCCCCTCTCCTGGGCTTCATCGTAGTGTCACATTCCATCGGCCCTGTTCGGAATGTTCCCACTAAATACATGAGCGCCTCGACCAGCAAAACAAATACAGTTGATACTAATAACTATATCCGGAGAAACTCCTGATTTTAGTGATTTTTATTCACTATGATGATAGTAGTGACATTTCCGTTAAAGTCTTCTTTCATGTCCTTGCGCTAAAATCTCACCGACAGCTTGCGAATAAACTTCGCGCACGAGTTTCTTAGCAATCTGCACACGCTTCGAACTGTTAGATTTCACTGCAGACCCCATGAAGCCTCATCACGTCCAGATCGCCGCGCATCCTGCCCAGACGAGCCAAAAGTCCCGCACCCATTGACCATATCCAGGTTTCAGAAGTGATTGAAGTAAAATAAGAGAGCAGAACATCGTGCTATATACAAAGTTCATCGACTTGAAAAACTTCGACTTTGTGGAGACAGCGTAAATCCCCTGGCAACCAGAACTCGCCGACTGGGACGCAAGAAAATGAAATGAAAACAGCAAGTAATATAAAAAGCGAATATGAATACCTGTAGTGTTTTGTGTAAGGGTCTACAGAAGTAGAAGTCTGACGTTCGTGATTCAGATACATATTCGCACGTGCAAGTTTGCGGGCGTTCAATGCCGATGCAACGCCAATTATTGTCTCTTCTTCGTCTTCATTCAATGTTGCTCCTTGGAAGCCTTCGGGATACGTTTCAGGGAGATACCTATTAATGAATAGTCACAAACAGAAAAAAAGGAAAAATAGAACTAACGATAAGCAGAAGAGTGGGAAGAGAATTGAACCAGCAGATCGGAGCTTACTTAGTGGTAATGTTGCCAGATCGGAAACGCTCTTCTTGACAAATGTCGCGAAGCAGAGGAATATTGTTTGTCACCTAAAGGAACCGAGCGTTAATTGCTCTAAGGAGTCGACTGTTATCTGCTTTAATGCAGACAATAGCTAATGCAATGCAACAGAGTAAAACGTACACCTCTGATAACGTAGTTGTCGAGGGCTTCGACCATGCGCTCTAAGGCTTGTTGACGATCTGCACCATGAGTGACGAGCTGAAGGATAATATCTACCAATCTGCTAAGCTAATTGAATAAGCTAGCTTCTTTTACAAGTCAAAATAAAAACTTTTAGTGTGTGAAGTAAACCTTGCAAATGAGTGGGTCATAGTAGATGGAAATCTCAGAGCCTTCACGAATTCCTGAATCGCAGCGTACGCCCGCAATGTGACGAGGTTCAACATATTTGGATAGACGACCAATCGACGGCAGACCGAAACCTTTGTAGGGGTCCTGAATAAGGAACTCTATTACAATGAAGAAGAACAACGTTGTGAACACCTTCGAACATTCAAGGCGCAGACCAGCGTCAACCCTATGCTGGGACAAGACAACGGAGGGGGGTCGTACTCAGTTGAGCTTGGAGGGGGGGGGGTCGTACTCTCTCGGTGGCCGACAGTGGGATTCTTGGTAATATCGGATAATAGCCAGCACGTTACGTTTTCGTAAGATGACTGATACTAGAGCATCTATAAACCACGCTTCCCTCTAAATGAGCTTTCAAATGAATCAGCAGAAGGGCGCCCGAGGCGTGGCGCACACCAAGGCAGGGGATGTAGTGCAAGCGCATGCTCGAAGCTTTCTAACACATCCTATGTTCAACAAGAATTGCTTTCCCTGGAGGCAGTGAAACCTAAAAAACCCGCGTTTTCAAGAAAATGGCTTGAAGAATGCCCCTCCAAAAAAGTCCCAACGGGACTAATTTTTGAACTGCTGACTTTTCAGGAACGTTTGGGTACTTTTTAGAAAGCTTGAATCCTGTAGTTTGTCATACCGTGTTCAGCTTCCCAAATGAATGAGTTTGAAGGAAGTTATGATCGTTTGAAGGTTGAAAAGTCGCGGTTCCAGAAAAATAGTAACGCAAACCCCCAAAAAAGTAACAACGGGACTAATTTTTGAACTACTGATCTTTCAGGAACGCTTGGGTGCTCTTAGAAAGCTTGAATCCTGTAGTTTATTATACCGTGTTCAGCTTCCCAAATGAATGACTTTGAAGGAAGTTATGATCGTTTGAAGGTTGAAAAAGTCGCATTTGCACAGAAAAAAGTAACAACGTACTAAATTTTTATTAAATTAACTTTCGAAGAATTTTCACCTATGATTGGAGAGAGAATAATTTGAATTTTTCAAATCAAATCACTTCAGCGCAAAAGCTATTATATTTGCTACATATTCAAAACGCTGCCTCTAGTTTTCATATTTTGCACCTATTATTACATCTATCGGTTTTTTGGGTGTCAGAGGGGGGGGGGGGGTCGTATCGAATTGCCCATGAAGGAAGGGGGAGGTTGTAAGGAAAAGTTCCAAAAAATACGAACGATAGGGTTGACCCTGGCGCAGACTTATTTGTCTCCAGAAAACTAAGAAGTGGTTCCACGTTTTAGCTAAAAGTTTATGATTCGACCGATTTGGCTCCACACATTAACGCGCGCGCACACATTGGCTTCTCGTTTCTCTGGGTTGCAGAACGGGTCAACCGCCCGTTGCGCAAAGAACAATGGGGGGGGGGGCGAAGTCGTGTTTGCCAATGGAAGAGGAGAGGGGGTCGTAACCTCAAGTACCATTCACAAAATTAGAAGCTGCCAAGGCGTGGCTAAGTGGCAAAGGAGGACAGACTTTCAACTGCCACTGCGACTACACACCACAGACGAATGGCGCATCCTGGAGCGAGGTTTCTTACTAAATACGTCATGTTCCAGTTAGCACAAGCAAAAAATTCTTCCAGAGAAACTCCCATGCTTTGACAACAAAGAGGAGAAAAGTGCATCGAATTCAGCTGATTTACCTGTGGAGCACTAAGAGAAACCTATGGCAGAAAAAAGGATGCTACGTACTGGATTCGGCAGGCTCCCTACACAACCCAGTACGCAGCATCCCTTATCGTACCCATGGAAATTGACCACTTCCTTTAACCCATTCGCGACATTGTGGCTCGACGTGGGGACCAGCATGGATATAATTCTTCTACGCAATACTTCCAAAATTATTATCCTACTACGTATAGTCCGCTAAGCGGTTGTGCCTGTGTGTGTATGTCTCTGTCTAACGGAAATTCATAGCGCGCTTCGCTGCAACAGTGGAGCGCTGTATTTTGAGTATGTTGTAGGGGGTGGGACGGGAACATATTTGGTGGGGGACAGAAAGTGATAACGACTGATAAGATCCGATAAGAGGCGCCAAAACGCCAATTCACGATATCCATAGCGCGCGTCCCAGCATCAGTGAGGCGTTGGTTCCAAGAAGTGATGTAGAGGGTAGGACGGGAACATCTTTGGTGGGGGACTCAAAGTGATAACGACTGATAAGATCTGATAAGAGGCGCAGGAATGCCAAATTCACGATATCCGGCCCAATTTCGGAGTTTTTAGAGGAGAATGGAAGTATTTCGGGCGAAGTCCACCTTGGGCGAAACGAAAAGATCTACGCATATTTTAGCAACGATCAGGATGAGACGTACAGAGTCTCAACAGCTTTGCTTTTAAAATTCAACATTTTTTGGTGCGTCCCAGCATCACTGAGGCGTTGGTTTCAAGAAGCGATGTAGAGGGTATTATGGGATGGATCAACTGGCAGATAGGCGAGGGCACGCTCCCTCAATCCACGGTGCACTTATGGTTCACTCTATTCCGGGGTTGGCTTTTTTATTTGAAGATGACCCACACTCCAACTACCCTTCGACTGGCAATCTCACTGCCTACCCAGCGCCACTAAGAATGGAAGTGGACATAACTGGTCGCTATTTGACAAAGGGTATCCTATCTGGCTACTGGTCCTTGGGGATTTGCTAGCACACTACACGTAGTCCGCATCACTGTTAAGATGATGGAATGTAGACGTCTCCGAAGAGTCGCCAAGATTTGGAATAATAAAATTTGCTTATCACGTGCTCTGGATCCAAACCAAAGCTCCAAACACGGTCTCACGTCGTTATACTCCTTCTAATTTCCAGCAGCTGCTTGCGGTGATCATGCGGCACATTCACCAGTGATGGGGACTACGTGGAGTGTGCTAGCAAATCCCCAAGGATCAGAAGCCTAGCTTGAACGATTCGGAAGTTCCAGCAGAAGCTTAACCTCCTTTGAGTCCGACCTTCTGAGATATTGGTGGAACACGAGAGTGACCATGCGCTGGGAACCGCCGCCCAGTAATACTAGGGTCACTGAAGAAGATCAACATCTACAGCGTAATGGCGACGCGTTCAATTTGAAAGTAAAGCAAGACAAAGTCTGCTTTTTTCCTGAGGTCGTTCGACCCCACCTTGCGGAGAATATTCATAAAAAATTGGAGACTCCCAGGCTAGCAGTTCTTTCACCTCCTCCGTGTGGCCCTATCCTCGTGTCCAACAAAGACAACTCAGTCTGACCTCTAGCGCTCTTCTCCAGGAAGAAATTTTACGCTAAGTGACATGACCTCAAACCGACTTCCGATCTTTCTTCGATCAATAGCTCCTGGAATTTCAGAGAAAGACAGCGACTAAATTTCCTGTATAGGCAATACATTGTAGATGACAGAGGTGTATGTTTGGATGAGCAAGGACTCGAATAAAAAAGAAAAAAATTTGAATTCAAAAATACCCAAAGTGATTCACTAATTATGGGACAACCTAATATTTACCGGTTCCAAGCAGTTTTCACAATACTTTGCAAATTTAGGATTCTGCCCACCAACTTGCACACCCCAATCAGGTGCTCTTACTCTAACAATAATTTGTCACATTTAATAAATTCGTCTTACGATTAGGTAGACACTCACTCATTGTCAGTTTTTTATCCAATAGTGAGAAATAAATATGAAACACTGCAATTAAAGGAATCCTTCTCGGAAAAATCGTGATTCTATTCACCCATAATTCACTGGCTTGAGACCCATCGTTCACGATAAGAACGAAAAGAACAGAAAAATTGCATTTGTTTTGGTAAAAAAAATCGAAAAACCGAAGGGCTGCTACGCGTTCAAAGTACCGCCGGACATCTGTCACAAATGCTGGCGACGGAATGCTTCCACTTGGTTCTTGGAGTGCCTCACTAGAAACTCTTTCTGGCCTTTTGACTTATTGCATTCACATCTCACACTTCTACTGCATCCTATTCTATCGATCGATTTGTCTCTACTCTCCAAATCGCACGCTTTAACCCGATTCTTTCATTGCGTCGCCTGATACGTAGCCGCCCCAAGGCGGACTTCTTTCCATGCCCCGCCTTTGGCTCCGCGCCACTTACCTTCGATTGTCCATAGAGTGTGGTTTTTGTAAGTTTGTTTCTCTTCGGAACCGAATCTTCATGCGTGAAACTTTGTGTGTTGTCTCTAGTGATCACAACTGACATATGCATGTTGAGAAAGAATGCAAGATTTTTCCGGGAAGGATCCCTTTAAAGCCTTCACAAAAGGAGGCCCAAATACATATCTTTTTGACCAGCACAACTCCCCATAGATAAATTCTTCTCTCGTTTCGGAGCATGACTGAGAAGACGGGAAGAGAAAGAGCCGAGCAAACGCCGATCGTTCTAGAATTCGCCGTGCCATATCCATCCCGCCGTCCGACGAATTCCCAGCCGCTCTAGATTCCAGGTGGATTTAACGGTTGGAACGACCGTTCAACATCACTCCGTTCCCTTGTGAATTCCGCGATAGTCTTGGCTACCGCCATCTAAGTATGTACCACTCTCAAATATACAGTGGCAGTTCTAGATAGGGCGCTGAAGGGGACGTTGTGGTTAGAGCGCCTGCAAAATCCCTTGAACCAGGAGCGCAAAATCAATGGTGAACACCAAGACTCCTTCGGGGTAATATGGCATAGAGCTGATGCTATACTACCCTATCATTTGGTCTTTTGTGATAAAATAGCTACAACTTCAAACTCCGCAAAAAAATAAAGAAAAAACGGTGAAGAACCTCGGCATAAACTCTGCTCTCGAAAGCCCATCCGTTCAGCGGAACTTGGTCTTGGGTGAGTGGAAGCTTATGGCCATAAGCGACACGTAACATTTGTTGCACAATATCGATTCCAGTGATGCACTCAGTGATAGGATGTTCGACCTGTACTATTAAAAATATCATTGGGATGACCAGAGAACATGGCTAATAGTTCAGACCTGGAGACGAGTGTTCATTTCTAAGAAATAGAAGTTTCTTTTCGAGTCGACCAGGAATTCTACTGTTCCTGCAGAATCATATCCCACAGCTAATGCAAGCTGACATGCTGAAATAAAAGGTAATGAAAAATGAGTTTGACTAATAAACTTTCCAATAAGAAATAGAAACCTTGTTCGCCCATCTTGCGACGCATCTCCGGAATAACGAAACTGCTTGGGGCCTCTTCAATCACCTTTTGATTCCTACGTTGAATAGAACATTCACGTTCATTTAGCCAAATG